CAACACTTCCGGAGTTAGAGATACTGCATTGCGGAAAGCCCCCTGGTGGCCGGGACAAATATTCAAAGAATACAAATCCTAGCCAAAAGTTGGGGATTTGTTTTCCCTCCACCTGTATCAACAGCTATTTATAAGGTGGTGATTTGCATATGAATACAGTAGAATAAATTTCATCAAGCCAAAGAATGTTCTAAATGATATCCCTAAGTTGTTTTTAGAATATACAACGGGTCAAGGCAGCAGTAATTCTTCGAGAAGACGGAGTATTAGAATAGTCAGATTTCTTACGTGAAGGAATCTTTCGTCAAGTGATTTTCTCTGTTGTTTTGAAACGAAACAATGTCATCATTCCAGCAATTGACGCCATTATTTTTTGTTCTTTTGAGAACTTGCACTAGTGTATAACCCAAACAGGCTTATGGTACCGAAAGTTCTGAAAATAATTCCATGCCATTATTATATAAGTTTATTTTAGGATCTTCACTATATCGATTACTACATTTCGGCCGATATGAATTCGAACATTCTTCAGTAGTTTTTTTTACCGTTATCTTTTAGTCGATGTGCTCTTCACGCTTCTTCTGATGGTTTGACATTTTGAGGTGAATTTGTCGTGTTGTCCATAAATCTTTCTTTAGTTATCCTCATGATTTAGAAAATATTCGAACCAGTGTTCTTATATCGGGTCTTTTGATATCATAACATAGATACCGGTCAGCTCTTAGGCCTTTTTTTTCTTATCTGAAGAATGGAAATGAATTATTTTCATCCCCGAAGATATACTGATTAGATTTCAAAACATTTGCTCAATAATTCAACGGTCTTCAAAATATTTCCCAAATTTCTTACTGCGTCTCTAAAAGACATTGCCAATGTCTTCTTTCGTCTTCAAACTTTCCTCAATTCTTTCATTTGTCTTCAAAATATTTTGCCACTGTCTTTTTTTGCCAATATTTTGGCATTTTTTTTTTTCAGAACCTTTCATTTTTTTTTCTTTTAAGTTTTGCCAATGTCTTCTTTTGTCTTCAAACCTTTTGGTCAATATTTTATTTGATCTTCAAAATGTTTCTTAAAAGTCATAATGCTTCTTCAAAACATTTCATCAGCGCTTTTCGTCGTATTCAAAACGTTTGATCAATGTTTTCTCTCATCTCCAAAATGTTTCGTCGGTGTCTTCTGTCGTGTTCACAACGTTTTTTCAATATCTTCTATAGTTTTCAAAACATTTCACCAATATTTTCTTTGGTCTTCAAACATTGTCGTTAATGCTACTTCCATATTCAAAAGCATTTCGGATTGTTAATTTTAAAGCCTGTAAAAACGAAACTACTCTCAGTTAATTTCTTGAGAGTAAATATCTGCCTTCAATAAACATTGCTGACGCTAAACTCTAGAATAGAAATGTTAACCCCATACGGTGCCACGTCTAGTGCTATCCTGGCTTAACGTTTTCCGCTATTAAGAGGAAATATTATATTGAATAGGTTTGCTGCCAAGGATTTTAGACCACTTACCCCAAGCAAGGCAATAAAGTCGGTAAGAAGAAAGAGGTTATTAATTGTGAGCACATACTATGAGAAAAAGAAAACATTATTAAGGAGAGAGGATAATGAAAGAACCGGGACAAAGAAAACAAAAGATAACGATTGATATTTAATTTTCATTTTTGACGATCAAATTTGACGATCAACGTTGACGATCAAAGTTGACTGCAAAGCAAGAAGCCAGACGAGAATTCTACAAGCGAGAAGCGCGAGAGACAAACTGTTAACATATAACACGGATATATATATAACCATTTCAACTGTAATATGATCCCTTACCGGCAATCTAATACTACGATTAAATTTATAAAATCTTGGTACTATATTGAAAATTTCATCGGAAAAATTACAATGAAAATATTTATAGAAAAGGCGCGGGGAATCTGCGTTAAGTCGGTGTGAAAATGACTGATGGTGAAATGTTAGGTCAGGACCGATAATATTGCAGATTATGACAATATTCAATACGTGAATTATTAGTGTACTTATAAATGCGCAAGATAGATTTGGGCGAGAGAATGTTGGAGTGAAATGATTAAAAAAAACTTTTCTCCAGATTTCCGGACTTGCTCAATGTCATCTTCCATTAGCCAAACATACTTTCAATGATTTCTTTGGTCTTTAAAACGTTTGGCTGATGTCTTCGCCAGTGTTCAGAACATTTGGTCGATATTTTCTTTGATCTTCCTCCGCAAGCTGATGATTTATACAGTGCGCAATAATGCCGGCTGATAATGAGAAACAGCTGATTAAAATCTCGCATATATAATACAGAACAAATATATATATATATATATATATATATATATATATATATATATATATATATATATATATATATATATATATATATATATATATATATATATATATATATATATATATATATATATATATATGTTATGTTAGAACATGCACATATCCACTACAAAATTGTACATTTTTGTTTCAATGTCAAAAAAAAGGGAGAACCTTTTTTAGACGTTTCATCAGGTGGGATATCACGGTGTTACTAAAAAATCTTATTCAGAAATACAGTTACCGAAGCAAATATCCCTCACTTCCGTTTTTGGAAATTTTCATAAAATGTCTTCTAGAATTTTCATGTCGAGATAGAAGGCAATCTAATGCATTAAGTAGTCGTGGGCGAACGAAAAGGAAAGGAAAACGAAAAAAAAAAGGGTTAAGGGGAAAGAAATAACGAGGCTATGAGAAGAGGATGAGGTGTTAAGCGCTAAGCGGAGATAAAATCTGGTCATAGAATTTCGTTAGAATGTAGAATTTGAACTTTAACAGTCTCGTAGGTTTGTTAGGTGGGTGTTTCAAGTAAAAATAATTTGCAGCTAGATACAGTTAAAGTAAAGGTTAGAATGTTAGGTGATATATATATATGTATATATATATATATATATATATATATAGGCCGATAAATATTATTAATACTGTTTATTATACACTGAGCGTTTACCCAAATATTTGTATCTATAAAAATAATGTATAAACAAAAAATATATTAAAATAATTGTCGGACTTAGTCCATTTCATAATGGATAATTTCATTTTTTTACTTTAAGATACGGTTCGAGCTGATATCAATGTTTGAGAGAAATCATGAGAAGTTAGTAATTCAAAAACAGAAATTTAAAATTGCTAACCACATGCGTTCTCAGTATATATATATATATATATATATATATATATATATATATATATATATATGTGCGTTATCCATTACTTCACCTACACATACAAACACACACATGCATATAGACCGACACACACACATATGTATATATGTATGCCTGTTTCATGTTAAAAGCAATCGTTAGGACATGTGCGTTGTGTTTTTGCTCAGGGAAAAACACAACGCACGATCGCGTTTGGCATGAAACAGATGGTCTTTTCTGTATGTTGACTTCAATGTCCACTTTTTTATTTACATGCACCAAATCGAAGATATTGATCATGTTAACCCATAAATATAGAAGACCTCTCTCAATAAATAAATAAACCCGTAAACACACACACACATACACACACACACACACACACACACACACATATATATATATATATATATATATATATATATATATATATATATATAAAATTTTATGGTAGCTTGGTGTGTTTGATTTAGTATAAAAATATAGTTATACAGCACATTTAACATGACTTGTTGAAAACTGTTGTGATTTTCTGTTGTTGGGCATTGATGTTGTGGAAATGTATTGGTGATGTATTTTCATTTGTTGTACAGCTTTGCTATGCTCTCCTGTCAGCCATTCTTGTTTTCTGCATTTGTCGAAGATAGATTTTTCTTTAAATAAGACATTTAAAAAAGCGTTATGTAAAATAAAAAAGAGTTTTTCGTGTTTAATTATTTTTAATAAAGTAAATCGTAAAGAAATTTATTATTTACTAAAGTAAATTGACATAAATTAAAATATAGTTCAATAAAACACATTTGTTTTTAAATATTTTTAGTAAAGGAAACCGAAAACAAAAGGAAGCATTTATTTGTATTTTTTTTTTAAATATTCACTAATTAAGGTTGTAATCCTTAATAAATTACTTTTATTCGTTTTTTAAAAAAATGTCGTTTTTTTCTGGTACTGAGTTGTCTGTGTCCCTATCGGCGATGTCGAGTCGGCGATGTCGAGTCGGCGATGTCGAGTCGGCGATGTCGAATCGGCGGGTTGATTCGGCCGCGTTGAGTTCTCCCCTCCTGTTTTTATGTTCACCTAGCACCACTGTTGTGGTATTGACTTCTTGAACTCAGAATTGACGGATGTTCGTTGAAGATTGTGATGTTTCTTTCTAGAAATCTGTTGTGATGGACAATGATATAGACTACAGTTATATTCAGTTCGTCTGATAAGATGTTCATTGGTGAATACAGGTGTGATGTTCTTTTATCAGTTAAGAAGACCGCGCACGTATTTGCATTGAGTCATGCAGACACGACTTGTACTGCTCGCGAAAATTCTTGTATTACTTGGTATAGTTCAAATTGTAGTCAGTGGAATAAGAAATCACAGAAGAAAAGGCAACATTTCATGGGATAGGAAAATACTCCAAGAAACGCTCTGTAAGGATCTCCCTGAAAGTCAGTTTGTCTAAAGCAATGGTCAATAACAATAAAATACTTACAATTGCTCCCTAGCGCTTACATTTAGACTCTTCCTGATATCGTTTATTCTAAAATATTACTTCCTTCAAATAAACCACCAAAAATCAAATATAAACACGCCTATATATATATATATATATATATATATATATATATATATATATATATATATAGTCGACACTCCCTGTCGAGATTCGACGTATGAGGGTCAAACAGATCAGTTTCAGGAAATCGACAGCCCGACACCGCACATGAGATTTGATTATAATGGTGAAGGCTTCGTGCAGGACCATCCACACTTTTGAAGGGACGAATACAGAGAC